GAATCATTCTTTATTAACTTCTGCTATTGGATCCTCCTAATCCTTTTAGCCATACTCAAGAATGACTAAGGAATAGCCAGGATCTCAGTGGCTGGTAGTACCCTTTGCTTTCTTGCCTGCTTGCTTGCTTGCTTGCTTCCTTGCTTGCAATCCATTCTGTTTTGCAGTGTTTCTAAAGTTTGATTTTTGGTGTTCTGTGCAGTAGATAACTGCATCCTGGCTTGGGGTTTGGGCAGCCTCAGTTAAAAGTCCTCTTCTAGGGCTGGAGAGATGGCTCAGAGGTTAAGAGCACCGACTGCTCTTCCAGAGGACCTGATTTCATTTCCCAGCAATGACATGATGGCTCACAATTATCTATAATGTGATCCGAGGCCCTCTTCTGGTGTGTCTGAAGACAGCAACAGTGTGCTCACATGCATAAATGGCTAAGATCAAAAACTCAGGTGACAGCACATGCTGTCGAGGATGTGGAGAAAGAGGAACACTCCTCCATTGTTGGTGGGGTTGCAAGCTGGTACAACCACTCTGGAAATCAGTCTAGTGGTTCCTCTGAAAATTGGACATAGTACTACCCGAGGACCCAGCTATACCACTCCTGGCTTATACCACTCCTGGGCATATACTCAAAAGGTGGTCCAACAAATAACAAGGACACATACTCCACTATGTTCATAGCTGACTTATATATAGCCAGAAGCTGGAAAGAACCCAGATGTGTCTCAACAGAGGAATGGATACAGAAAATGTGGTATATTTATACAATAGATTACTATTCAGCTATTTAAAACAATGACTTCATGAAATTCATAGGCAAATGAATTGATCTAGAAAATACCATCCTGAGTGAGGTAACCCAGTCACAAAAAGAACACACATGGTATGTGGATATTAGGCAAAAAGCTCAAAATACTTGTAGTACAACTCACAGACTATATGAAGCTCAAGAAGAAGGAAGAGCAAAGTGTGGATGATTCAGTCCTTCTTAGAAGGGGGAACAAAATACTCACAGAAGCCGGGCGGTGGTGGCGCACACCTTTAATCCCAGCACTTGGGAGGCAGAGGCAGGCGGATTTCTGAGTTCGAGGACAGCCTGGTCTACAGAGTGAGTTCCAGGACAGCCAGGACTAAACAGAGAAACCCTGTCTCGAAAAACAAAAACAAAACAAAACAAAACAAAAAAATACTCACAGGAGGTAGAGGCTGGGAGGGACTTGGGAGGAAGAAAGGAGAGGGAAGAGAAAAAGGAGGGAAGACAGGATGATATATAGAGGATCAGGAAATTGAACAGAGGTGTGTAGCAATAGGAGATGGAGAACTAGGGGTAGCCACCATAAAGTCCCAGATACCAGGAAAGCAAGAGGCTCCCAGGACCCAAAGGGATGAGATTAGCTACCAACAAAGGGGAGAGAGAACCTATAGAGACCATATCCAGAGGTTAGGCAAGGTTCCCTGTTGGAGGAGGGGGCCACCCATTCATCTCCAAATTTTTAACCCAGAATTGCCCTGTCTAAAGGAAATACAGGGACAAAGAGTGGAACAGAGACCGAAGGAAAGGCCATCCAGAGACTGCCCCACCTAGGGATCCATCCCATATACAGACACCAAAGCCAGATACTATTTTGGATGCCAAGAAGTGCTTACTGACAGGAGCCTAACATAGCTGTCTCTGCTAGAACCTGACAAATACAGATGTGAATGCTTGCAGCCAACCATTGGACTGAGCACAGGGACCCCAATGGAGGAGCTAGGGAAAAGAATGAAAGAGCTTTGCAACCCCACAGGAAGAACAACATCAACCAACCAAACCCCCCAGAGCTCCCAGACACTAAACCACCAACCAAAGAGTACACATAGAGAGACTCATGGATCCAGCCACATATGTAGCAGAGGATGGCCTTGACTGGCATCAGTGGGAGGAGGGGTCCTTGGTCCTGTAAAGTCTCAATGCCCCAGTGTAGGGGAATGCCAGGGCAATGAGGTGGAGTGGATGAGGGGTTGGAGGGGGAACACCCTCATAGAAGCAGGGGGAGGGAAACAGGATGAGTTTCTGGAGGGGAAACTGGGAAAGGGGAAATGTAAATAAATAAAATATCCAAAAAATAAATAAATACATAAATCAATCTTGGGGGGAAAAAGTTCTCTTCTAGATTGCTGCATGTGAATACAGGCTGTGGAAGGCATATTAGGAGTCAGTATAGATGTTAAGTCTTCTACCCTTTTCCAAGATGTGAGCTCTAGTAAAGGCATTAAGTTATGTCTTATGGGCAGATGTTGTTTGAGATTATGTATATACCTACAAAAACTAAAAACTTATGTCCACACACAATATGAATGAGACTGTCAATAACGCCGTATTATAAATGAATTATACATTCTAGCCAGCCTATATAAAAGACACATAATCCAAGCATTTCGTGTACAAGATGTAAGCCTAGATTGGGCAGGTTTGGAGCTAATCTAACTTACATTCCAGACATCCATTCCTTGTTACTTGCTGTTTCTCTTGGCCACTTGTCATGGTTCATCTCCTCCCATGGAGGCTTCCTCCTCTTTCCCTGTCCTTTCTTCTTCCTCTCCTCTCTATCTGAGACCTTCGGACAGGTAACTGAAAACCCACCTACCTCTATCTATTGCCCAATCACTGGCTTTAGCCTTTATTGACCAATTAACTTGGGGAGCAAGGTTCACACAACAAAAGTTGGTATACATGAGAATCTGCTTGTCTTGGAACAACCGGATCTTGAAGTACAGAGTTTTAGCACTTGATTACAAACAGCTTTAGACCAATCCCCTACACTGTATTCTTAATCAAGATAGAAGCAGAAAAAGAGATAATTCAGTGGTAAAGTGCTTGTTAAGCAAGCATGAGGATCTGGGTTCCACTTACCAACACCCACATAAAATGTTGGTCATGGTGTTATGTACCTGTGATCTCAGAGCTGAGGACACAGAGACATGAGGATCCTCAAAGAGCTAATTGTAGTTTCTGGACCTTTTAGAATTGGGAGAGACTACTACTATTCCAACTACTGAATTTCTCTGTTGCCAGTTACTATCTGAAACGTGTATTTGATTATCCTCAGTACTCTGTGATATAGGTTCTATTATCCCTGTTGTACTGCTGCAAAAATTAAAGTACAAAGGTTAAAGTTCATATCACTACATGATGTAATCAAGATGGCAGTCCAGTATTGTGAGTGGTATAGTTCCTCATCTTGGCTGGCTTTAAAATCAGACTCATGTCCTTTAGAGCTCTTCCAAGTATAATAGGCCCAAGATAAAGAGAAATCATGCCTCTGCTTTTTAAGTTGGGCCATCAAGAGTGATTACTTTGATTGGGATTATGTAGTTGAGGGCAATCACTATTTTTTTCCTTTTAGGAAAGAAGAATAGAGTTGAATGGAGTGTGGAATTCAAAACATACTGATTATTGGCAAAACTCCTTTTCTAATTTCTAGCTCTTTGATTGTGGAAAATGGAAGTAACACCAGGTTGGAAAAGTTTTCCATTCCCTCCTTTCGAAAATAGCCTTGTACTGACTTGGAAGGCTGATACAGTATGGGGCATCCACCCAAGTCATGTTTCAAGTGGTCTCATTTTAGCATTCTCTTGAATGTTTTCAAACTATGATGTTGACTTTCTTTCTTTTTCTTTCTTTTTTTTTTTCTTTGCCTATGTGTCATGCAGATTGTCCCTGGGTCCTGGGTGTCATTCGCTCTGAAGTCACTCTTCTGCCCTCAATCACGTGACTGAAATCAAACACACACTCTTGATGGCTCAGCTTTAAAGCAAGGGGCCAGTTTACTGACATACAGCAATGACCTGTTTGTGTAAAAGAAAAATTATCAAATCCATTAAATTATTTTGTGCCTAGATCATTCCTTAACCATATTATCTCTGTAATTACTTTGGATTTTTTGTTTGTTTGTTTTTAAGTTTGGGTTTGGGAGTATTGTTTTCAGTTATTGAGACAGAATCTTGCTGTGTACCTCTGGTTGGGCTGGAACTCATCATGTATGTCAGGCTGGCTTTGAACTTGTGGTAATTTTCCTAATGCTACTGCCTCAAATGCTAGCTAGGATCACATGCATGCACTGCTATGTCTGCCTGTGATTACTTGTATTTAAGAATATGTGGAGCAGGGTTTCTTTGGTTGTTATCTTTAGTGATCTTAATTGACTTTCTTCTCCTTTAATCCATATAACAGAATAAGTGTTCCTAGAACAGGTTTGAATTTGGTCAAGGTCATTATTTCTATGGCATCATTTCTCTTACCTTCTTAACATAGAGTTCATTTCCTGTTACCCTTAACATGATGTCAAACAGGGAACAGTTTTGTCTCCTGTCATTAGATTATTCAGACTTTTTGAAAATCTTGAAATCTTTTCTTTATTTTTCTCTTCTCGTTTCCCCCTATACATTTATTTGAATAAAATATTTGATAGAATTATTATATAATGATTGCCTAACAGTATTTGCTGCATGTTCACATTTAGAAGCAGAATAATTATATACCTACTGACCAAGGTGTCTTTGACAGTCAAAAGATTATCACATGTTAAATATTTACAGTAGTTTCTGGCACATAAAAGCACTCTATAATTGTCATTTAACTGATGTTTTTAAATGCCTCTCATTAATATAGTAAATTATAGATCACTAGTTGATAGTTTAGAGAATGTATTTTTGTTATTAGTACCTTCATTTAATTTATATGACACAGGATCTTACCCTGTTGCCCAAGCTGGCCTCAGACTTCTGTATATAGCACAGGAGGTCCTTGAACTTGTGGCAGCCTGCTGCCTCAACCTTTGTAGTACTAGGACTGTGGGAATTTGACATCACAACAGAACAGAAAATGTATTTTTAATACATTCCATACCTGTAGTTTTTCCTCTCTCAATATCTTATTTGGCACAGTGTTTATATGAAAATAGTATAAATAGTTCATTTCAACTATTAAGCTGTCATTTGATGGTTTGTTTTCTGTATTTTTTTAGGATAATTCTGATTCATTGCATCCTTGAAGAGCATCAATAGAAGAGGGGGAAAAAAGATGGGTGTGAAAACATTTACTCACAGCTCCTCTTCCCACAGCCAGGAAATGCTGGGAAAACTAAATATGCTACGAAATGATGGACATTTTTGTGATATCACTATTCGTGTCCAGGACAAAATCTTCCGGGCTCACAAGGTGGTACTAGCAGCTTGCAGTGATTTCTTTCGAACCAAACTTGTGGGCCAAACAGAGGATGAGAACAAAAATGTGTTGGATCTGCATCATGTTACAGTGACTGGCTTTATACCTCTTTTAGAATACGCTTATACAGCCACTCTGTCAATTAACACGGAAAATATTATTGATGTTCTAGCGGCAGCCAGCTATATGCAAATGTTTAGTGTTGCAAGTACATGCTCAGAGTTCATGAAGTCAAGTATTTTGTGGAATACACCTAATAGCCAACCAGAAAAGGGTCTAGATGCTGGACAAGAGAATAGTTCCAACTGCAATTTTACTTCTCGAGATGGAAGCATTTCTCCAGTGTCTTCAGAGTGCAGTGCTGTGGAAAGAACCATTCCTGTCTGCAGAGAGTCCCGGAGAAAACGAAAAAGCTACATTGTTATGTCTCCTGAGAGTCCTGTAAAATGTAGCACACAAACAAGTTCCCCCCAGGTATTGAATTCTTCAGCTTCCTATGCAGAAAATAGAAATCAGCCAGTTGACTCTTCTTTAGCGTTTCCATGGACTTTCCCTTTTGGGATAGATCGAAGGGTTCAGCCTGAGAAAGCAAAGCAGGCAGAAAATACCCGGACTTTAGAAATGCCTGGCCCATCTGAGGCAGGTAGAAGAGTGGCTGACTATGTGACTTGTGAGAGCACAAAAACTACCTTGCCTCTAGGTACAGAAGATGATGTCCGGGTCAAAGTAGAAAGATTAAGTGATGAGGAAGTCCACGAGGAAGTGTCCCAGCCCGTTAGTGCATCTCAGAGCTCACTGAGTGATCAGCAGACGGTGCCTGGAAGTGAACCAGTTCAAGAGGACCTTCTGATTAGTCCACAGTCTTCCTCTATAGGTATAATGCTTCCTATATTTTTTATGTTTTTTATGGTCAATTCAGACATTTAAGTTTTTATTTTATAGGCTCAATCCTGTAGAAATCATTTTTTTAAATGGAGTTAAAACATAACTGAATTTGTTTGTTTGTTTGTTTGTTTGTTTTGGAGCTGGGTTTCAGTGAATAACCATGGTTGGCCTGGAACTCACAGAGGTCTAGCCTACCTCTGCTTGCAGAGGGATTAAAGGCACAAGCCACCATACCTGGCTGATGATTGGGCTTTTTAAAAAATAGTATTAGCACTATAAGTTTTATGTATGTGTTTAACAAGTTACACATTGAAAAAGAAAAAAGTTCAATAGGATATAAGGGATAAAAGTAGAAATAAAAATTGTTAATTACCTTTTGTCTGTTTAAAGAGACAGGGTCTTGCATTGTAGTCTGGGTTGGCCTTGAACTGGTCGACTGGAACTCTTGCCTCAGACTCCTGGGTGCTAGGATAACAAGATTATACCACCACACCCAGCTATGAATACTTTCAATACAAAAGAAGACAGACTTTGAAAATCTACATAAAGAAACTAGGCACTTCTTTAACTAATGATGTGGGCTGTAATCCTAGCACTAGCCAGGAAAATAGTAGCACACCTCCATTCTCAGCTACATAATTGTCAAGATCTGAGCTGTGTGTGTGGGGTGGGGGATCCACTTGTTGTTTTGTTCTTTTTTAAATGGATAAGGGCATTTGCTATCATATCTGAGAACCCAAGTTTGAATCCTGAAACCTCTCTGATTAAAAAGAGGCTTTTTATTGCACAAATCTTGAGGCAAATCTTGCAGGCTTTTTCTCCCTCTCAAAATTAACATATAAATGTAAAAAAGCCAAAAATATTTATTGAAAACTTACAAAGGGTGCCAAACATGATTGTATGTAAAGAGAAGACACTGTTCTTACAGTTAAGTGTTATGTAAGGAGAAGGCATTATTCTTACAACAAAGGGGATACTAGCCCAAATGGAGAAGCAGATATGTCCGTAAGTTACTACAAAAAACTGGTAAAGCTCCTTTGCTAGACAAGTTAAAAGGCATTGTTATGGTAATAATGAACCTAGTGCAAAGTGATATACAGAAAAGCAGGGATCTATGGATCAGTGGGGAATGAGTGGGAAGTCCAAAGGAGCTAGTAAGAACAAATTGTGGAGAGCCTTGAACACTAGTTCCATTCAACTGCAGGTAATAGGTCCCTTCAAACAGGATCTTATTTTTAATTACATGATATGATCTAGAATAGGAAGTCCAAAACTGATAATGTGGATCTACAATGTCAGCTAGGCTCCTTATATATAAGTTCCCATCTTTATCAGTTTATCTGTAGGCTTATTGCTTTGTAGTTATTTAAAAAGTTCACTTCATCTTGAGATTTAGGTTCTAGAAAAGGATAGTGCTTGTAATCAGGAATGCACTATTAAGGTTTCCCAGAGGCTCTTTAAAAACTAGTGTTAGTCTATACCACATGATCTTTCTTAGCCACAGAGAATCTGAGAAAATGATTATTGAGTCCATGACCGCTTTGAGCAGAATTGGAGCAGAGTAGTGCTAGATTTAGTACCATGTGCTTTAATCCCAGGACCAGGGAGACCAGTTCACGTAGATGGATCTCTGTGAGTTTGAGGGCAGCTCTTATTCTACATAGTAAGACCCTATCACAAAAATCACAGCAATAAGCCAGGCAGTGGTGGCACATGCCTTTAATCTCAGCACTTGGGAGGCAGAGGCAGGCGGATTTCTGAGTTGGAGGCCAGCCTGCTCTACAGAGTGAGTTCCAGGACAGCCAGGACTGCACAGAGAAAACCAAAAAAAGAAAAAAAAAAGAAAAAGAAAAAAATAACAATAATGAAACATAGTGGGTAGGGCACATGCAAGAGCATTGCCCACCGTAGATAGGCTAATCAATATAAGGACATTTTAACTTGAGCATATCCACAAAGACCCCATTTGCAAATAAGGTATAATTAATAGCCAAGGTAGGATGTCAACTTTTGGGGAACTCAAATTTTTTTTGAGTAATTTGAATAAATATAACTAATAAGTATTTAATATGCACAGATCATAGCTATTTTGAGTCTTTAGTCTTAAAACTATCTTAGTACCTTCTAAATAATATTAGAAAATTTAGAAATCCAAATATTTAGCTAAATACCTTAAACTACACTGAAATTTTTTTTTCTTTTGGTTTTTCGAGACAGGGTTTCTCTGTGTAGCCCTGGCTGTCCTGGAACTCACTCTGTAGACCAGGCTGGCCTCGAACTCAGAAATCCACCTGCCTCTGCCTCCCAAGTGCTGATTAAAGGCGTGCACCACCACTGCCCAGCATAAAATTTTCATTCATTACTTTCAGGTATATTTACTTAGTTCATATTTTGCCTTACAATCTTACTAAACATGGTTATATAGAGAACTTATGAATATAAGTAGACAAAACTTTTAAATTATATAACAGTTTCTACCTGTATAATTGTGGATACTGTAGCATGAATATAGGAAGATCTGACTTAAATATCTCATATACTCCAAGTGGATTTTTTTCTGCCTTCATATCAAGTGTACTAATTACTCTAGACCTCTTACATCTATAGATTTCTACATTAGAATAAATCCATAATGAACAAAAAAGTAAATTCCTCAGATATTGTGGGTAGTGAATAAAATTTCTACTCTTGGTACTTTGTTCTCTATATTTCAGAAGAGCATATCTACAAGCCTTTCATTTTACTTAAATTCATTAAAGATACCAAGTGATAGCTTGTCATTTTACTGCCTGATAAATTTGATACCTACTATAGTCATTCTGAAATTCTGTAGTAAAAATTTGACTACCCATGAATTTTATTGAAGTGAAATTTTACCTATATTTGAAGGTTCCCATTTTTGCCCATTTACTTAGTAAAAGATCGTAAAATCTTAATGCATTGCACATGGGGTAAATAGAAGCAATAATTACAACAAATCCAAAAGGAAAAAAATTGTTATCTTATTATCCAGAAAGATAAGGCTGGGCCTGGAGAGGTAGTTCAGGATTAGGAATGCTTCCTACTCTTCTGAAGGAATGGATTCAGTCCTAGCATCCTCCAGGTAGAGCACAACTTCCTACTAACTCCAGCTCCAGGCATCCAGGGCCCTCTTCTGGCCTTTGTAGTTACTGCGTTCATGTACACACAGGTAAAAATAAAATAGTTTTTTGGGTTTGTTGTTGTTGTTTACATTTATTTATGACACATGTGCAGGTTAGAGGACAACTTGTGGGAGTCAGTCCTCTCCTTCCGGAAGTGAGGTTGTCCTTCATGGTGGTGAGCTCCTATGCCCAGTGAGCTTTCTTGTCAGCCTAAGGTTTTGTTGTTGTTTTTGTTTTAAACACAGGCTATTAATTTATATACCATTTTAAGAAAAAAAGAATCTTAGATGTGATGGATTCATTATTTATCTTAAAGTTTCAATTATCTATACTCACCAAGGACAAATATGAATGAATGACTTTAGATAAACTACAGTTTACTAAGCTAGCAAAGGAATTCCATACTCTATAATTCTACCATTAAAATTAAAGTGACTGAGGAATACTTTCCCTGCCTTGCCCTGGTGTTCGAGGACAAATGTACTCAGTCATCTTTTCCAGAGGACCAAAACACCTACTTTGTAAAATATTTCCAAAGCTGCTCTTAGTTATTGAAAGCAGCTCCTTACCTGTTTGCGATAGAGTTTAGGCAGCATGCAGATCTTTTGAAGAATGAATCATGTCAATTTGTAAGAGCTAATCATAAGATTCTAAGTTAAATTCCCAGTTGTAACTGGCTGTCTATTAACTTAAAAGTCTTTGAAAAGACTACAAAAGCATTTCATCAAAGAACAATTTGTATCTGTTTAAATAGCCAAAATACTCCTAAGAGACCTTTTTACAGGAAATAAAACCCAACAGCAAAGGGCAGTCACTGAAATGCTTGAGCTTGGCTCATAAATTTACCCTCCAGGCAAGGGCAGTTTACATCTGAAAAAGGATTTTTAATCTTCAGTATTCTCAAAGAGCTAATGCATGGCAACTGGAGAATCTCTTAGACTACTATTTCTGTCAGTCCTGTCACCCCAGACCAACTGTGGTGAGCGTGAGCGGTTCACTTCATTGCTTGTTCCCTTTACAACAAGGGAGATCACACCACAGTGCTTTTAGAGTTTTGTTTTTGGTAAGATGGTACTTGTAGGAATTAGCAGAGGATTTAATTTAAGCCTGAGGTAGGTGATTTTAGGGAGTGTTCCAGAGAGTTTGCTTAGTACTGTGGATACCAGAAAGCAGTCATAAACTTATGACTGAACTCAATAAATATCTTCTAAAAGTGCAGACTGAAATGAGTCTACAGTGTCCATAACGTAAACTTACTGGCTAAGAAAGGAGAATGATGTAGATATTTTTGTGACTGTAGTCACCTTGTTCTATCTGCAAGATACACTTTTTCACATCATTCCTGCATTTAATAAGAGTCACAGAGTAATAACTCTTTGATGTTGATGCCTTGTGAGGTTATGTCTAACAAAATACTATGGGCTAGCTAAGAGTATTAGGCCTACTCCTGAGAGGGTCTGATCTGGTCCTGAGAGTCAGGCTGCTTGTTTTTCTTTCCCTCCCCTCTTTTTCCCTTGCCTTGTTCATTTTGACACTAGGCAGTAAATATAGGGCTTTGTACATGCAAAAGTTTTCTACCACTAGATCGTCAGCCCACTTGTCCTTAGCACGCTATACTAAAGACAGTCTCTGAATTTATCAAATCACAATAGTGTCACAAAATACAGCAGCTGCATTAGCAGCAATTTACCAGCTGGTCTCACCTACACTGGTAATTGATAAGGTGAATACTTGTTCTTTTATTCCAGTTTTAATCATTAATATTACCTCATATCACACAGTACACAGTAAATACGTGTGTGTGTGTGTGTGTGTGTGTGTGTGTGTGTGTGATTTACAGAATGAT